GACAAGGGGGGGGGTGGTAGGCTGGTCCACCAGGGCATTATGGCGCTTATGCAGGCTCATATAATGGTCCACCAGGGCCGCCTCCACCTGGCTGGAGTGGTTATGGACCTGCTGGAGGTGGTGGTGGTGGCGGCAGCGGTTTTGGAGGATATGCTGGATATGTAAGTATTTGTCTTTCCTCTGAATGTTTTGAGTTTCCTCACAATGAAGTTGTGTTGATGCTGGTAAGGAGCTCTTAATCCAAGGAAGTGGATCTGTTTTCCTTGACAAAGATCAAATGTGAATGCCTCTCATTCACCATGCAGTGTATGATCCTATGGGTTTGGGGCTTCTTCCCTGATTTTAATAATAATAATAATAATAATAATAATCGTCATCTACACTTGCTGCTCAGCCTTAGGTGAGGCTTCCTTGTTGACCTGGTCAAGCAGGCTGTTGCTTGACCAGGCACACATGGCTGTCACAGCCTGGCTGATCTGGCACTTCTTGGAGGAACGTCTTCCTTTCTTCCAGCTGCTGAAATTAAACTGGTTTAATTAGAAATTAACCCTTTGACTGTTTAGGTCGTATGTATACGTCTTACGAGCCGCTGTTTTTGACGTATATATACTCATAAATTCTAGTGGCTTCAAATCAAGCAGGAGAAAGCTGGTAGGCCCACATGTGAGAGAATGGGTCTGTGTGGTCAGTGTGCACCATATAAAAAAATCCTGTAGGACACAGTGCATAATGAGAAAAAAAAAACTCCTACCGTTTTTTTAATTAAAATGCCGACTTTGTGGTCTATTTTCGTATAGTATTTATGGTTGTATTCTCATTTTTTTTTGGTCTCATTTGATAGAATGGAAAACATATTATAGAAATAGAGGTGATTTTGATTGGTTTTACTTTGAAAAGAACCTTGAAATGGAGCTCAAGTAGGGGAAATGTTTGATTTTCCCTATGTTCAAAAGTAAACATATGATGTCATTTTCCAATAAATGTCCAAGTAGCCATTCTAATATGCAGTCATGAATGGGTTGACATTATTTATACAATTATTACAATATTGCAGTAGTCTGCATAACAGTAAATCTTCTATTTTTTGTTTGAATAAAAATTCAAAATAGAAAGCAAGAGTAATATCAGAGTGGTCTGGAGATGTGACTGATGAACAAAGAAAATGGTATTTTGGAGCCAGGAATGTCTGCATTGTTCATTCTGGACCCTATATTGAAATTGTCATATTTTTTAATTTTCGTGAAATTGGCCAAACTGCAAATTTCTGACCACGTTATTGGGTAATTGAAATCGGTAAATGGGCAGTTTCTTGTTGTACTCAGTCGATAGAAAAAATGGAGTTCTAAAGAAATAGCTATGAATTTGGTCGACTGGAACAATGGAATTAGCTGAAAATAGGGCTCAAAATGGGCAAAATCGCTGATTCGTAAATATTGCTGAGGTCACTAATTTTGCGAGAGTGTAATTCCGTCAGTTTTCCATCAAATTTCGTTCATTTGGTGTCATTACAATCGGGGAAAGAGTCTCTTATCATTTCATAAGAATTTTTTTTTTTTTTTGAAATTTTGCGACACCAGGAGACACCTCGGGATTTGGGGTTGCGACAGTCAAGGGGTTAATATATGGATTTGTGATACATTTTTTAAGTGTTTTAATACTAATATTTTAATGATGTATTTGGATAATTACCATATGCTAATAATTTCCTTTTTTTTTTTACTGCCAGACAAATTTATCAACAGTCTAATATGGCATTTATGTTGTTGCAGAATGAGGCATATGATGTTATTGTTTTATACATCTTGTTCTCTGTTAACTATTGAAACTTTTGTATTGACAAAGTCTCAGACTTTCATACTCTGCATAGTATAAGAATGTTCAAAAGTTAATTAGTTTTTTTTTGAGTCTTTCACTAAACAGTTACTGGGTTTAGTGTTTAAAATTTAAGAGGGAAGGTGGAAGAGAAAAAGTAACTGGGAGGTAGGAGGAATAAAAAGTGGGAGGAGGAAGAGGAGGAGGTAGGAGAAATAGAAAGTGGGAGGAGGTAGGAGGAATAGAAAGTAGAAGGTGGATGAGGTAGGAGTAATTGAAGGTGAAAGGAGGAGAAAGTGGGAGTAGGAGGGTTGACTGAAATTGGTTACCTATGATTCTGAATGGCCTTGGAGTGGGTAAGAAAGCATTCACTGTATAAATAATGTATCTTGTCTGTTCAATGATATGAATCTGAAACCTTATAATAAAGTCTAATATCATCCTTTTGGGTATTGATCTAATACATTAGCAGTACTGAGGTTAATGTTTTAACCATTGGAGGGTCCATCCTGTAGTTCTAAGGCTTTGAAGCCAGGGTCCAAGCTGTAGTCCTACACCCTGAGCTCAGCTTAATCAGATAGACTACATCATGAGCTCAGCTCACTCAGATAAACTGGGAGCAATAAATTTGGGCCTAGATCTGAGAGAATACATCTCTGTGGTAAGTGTGCACCACATAAAACAAATCCTGCAGCACGCAGTGCATAATGAGAGAAAAAAACTGGGACTGTAATTTTGGATTAAAACAGTGACTTTGCGGTGTTTTTTCGTATGTTTTTTTACAGTTGTATTCGTGGTTTCTTGGTCTCATTTGATAGAATGGAAATTATATTACATATTGGTTTTAGTACTGAAAATGGCTTGAAACTGAGCTCAAAGTAGCAGAAATGTTCAATTTTTGCTGATGTTCAAGAGTAAACAAATGTCGTCACGAGTCTAATACATGTAAGCTGGTGGGTCTGATATATGTTCACGAATGTGCTGATATTTATGTACAATTATTGCAGTATTGCATAACAGTGCATCTTCTATTTTTTAATGTGAATAAAAATTCGTTGTGTGAATAAAAATAAAAATGTGATTCATTTATAAAGCCTTATAGCATAACTAATGAACAGAGGAAATGTTAGATTAGTGCCAGGAATGCCTGCATTGTTTATTCTGGACCCTGTTTTGAAATTGGAATATTTTGAACTGTGTTAAATTGGCCAAATTACCAATTTATGATCACTGGAATAATTTTTTTTTTTTTTAACAAGTCAAAGTCGGCAAAATTGCCGATGCATGAATATTGACATCAAAATTTGTGAGAGTGTAATTTTGTCAGTTTTCCTCCATCAGATTTCAATACTTTTTGTTTGTTATTACACTTAAAAAAGATTTCTAACCCATTTCATAGGAAAAAAATTTTTTAATATAAAAATTTTTTTTTTGAAAAAGTCCTTCGACCCAGCTGTTACTCTGAGATTTGGCATCTGACTCTGAAAGTGTTAACCCTTTCAGGGCCATCCCGAAGTCTACGGCTTTAGAATAGTTAGGGTCCAAACCGTAGATCTTGCCATAAAGTAGCTCGCTCACTCTGATAAACTGTGAGTGGTAAATTTGGGGGCCTAGATATGAGAGAATACATATATGTGGTATGAGTGCACCACATAAAACAAATCCTGCAGCCACTGTGCATAATGAAGTAGAAAAAAACTGGGACCATGAATTATCGATTAAAACAGCGAATTTGCATTGTATTTTCGTATGTTTTTTTTATAGTGTATTTTGCAATTCTTTGTCGTCATTTGTATAATGGAAGACGATATTACAGAAAAAGAGTGAATTTTGATTGGTTTTAGCACTGGAAATGGCTGAAAACTGAAGCTCCAAAGTACGAAGAATGTTAAATTTTTGCCTATTTTTTTAAAGAGTAAACAAACGACCTCACACGTCTAATACACCCGAGCTGTGGTCTAATATACATTCACAATGTTGTTGATGATAATTATACAATTAATACAATAATTCATAACATAAATCTTCTATTTTTTTGTGTGATATAAAATTCATTATGTGAATCAACAAAATCAAAATGGAGATTTACAGTGGAAGCCTCAAAATTATCGAACTTTCTTCAGTCCAAAGGCTGTTACGAGTGCCATTACCGAATAATTTATTCCACCATCAGGAATAATGTAAATTAAGATTAGACAAGTTTAACCCTTTCAGGGTCCCGTCCCGTAGGGGGGAGACGAGGGGGCGCGCGTGCTTTACGTTCAGGGTTCCAAACCTAGATCTACCCATGGGGGAGCTCAGCTCACTTCTGATAAACTGTGAGTGGTACTTTGGGCCTAGATATTGAGAGAATACATCTATTGGTATGTGTGCACCTTCATAAAACAGATTCCTGCAGCCAACTGGTATAATGAGAGATAAAAAAATGAAATCATGATTTTTCGGATGTAAAACAGCTAACATTTGCAGTGTTTTTTCGTATGTTTTTTATAGTTGTAATTTGGCGATTTCTTGGTCTCATTGATATAATGGAAGACATATTACAGAAATAAGATGATTTTTGAATGGTTTTTACACTGGAAATTGGCGTGAAAACTGAGGCTCAAAGTAGCGGAAATGTTAAATTTTGGCCGGATATTCAAGAGTAACACATACGACCGTCACACGTCCTCTATACAAGTCAGCTGGTGGGTCAATAAACATTCACAAATATGTGATGAGTATTTATTACCAATTATTAATCAGTATTGCAAACAGTAAATCTTCTATTTTGTGGTGTGAATAAAAAATTCATTATGTGAAATAAAAAATCAAAATGGAATTTATTTGTAAAGCCCAAACATAACTAATGATAGAGGAAATTGTTAAGTTTAGTGGCCAGGAATGCCCTACATTGTTCATTCTGGACCTATTTTGAAATGGAAAATTTGAACTTTGTAAATTGGCCCAAAATAAGCAATTTCCGATCACTATTATGTAGTTGAAACAGTTTTGACTTGCTGATTTCTTCTTGTGCTCATCGAAAGAAATAGAAGTAATATACTAGAGGAAATAGCTAAGAAATTTGGTTGATGGGGGAATAAAGTAATATGCCTAGGGCAAAGTGGAGTCAACGTCGGGCAAAATCGCCGATTCATAAATATCGCTGACACATCACAAATTCGCGAGAGTCATAGATTTCGTCAATTTTCCACCAAATTGATTCGTACTTTTTGTTTTAATTACCGATCGACAAAAAGATTCTCATAACGATAACAAAAGAAAAAATAACAAAGTTTGTTTTTTGAAAATTCCTTGGACACGTGCGTGACTCCAGAATTTGGGCTTTGAACCCTGAAAGGTTAAGACC